GGGGGGGGAGGAGGCGAGGAGCTGTAACACATGAAACATTTTGTTTATAAAACGCCTGTGTGTTTGTTTTATCTCGCCCTCCTCTCCTCCTCCCCCCCCCAGGACACCCTCCTCCTCCCCCCCATTGCAATCTCGATAATGGATGTCACCGCCGAGCCTTGCCTGCCTTCTGCAATAACGCCACCGCAGAAGCTTTTCAGAGGGTTATTAATAAAAGATTGTGTTGATGAGTTCGGAATTTGGCAATAGACCCCCCGCCGGAAGAAAAAAAAACATTAACACCGCAGGACAGCAAAATCTCCCCCTTGCAAATCAACAACTAAACGGCTTTCCTGATGGACTCCAGGCACGAGGATCGCCTGTGTAGCATCTCGGCAAGGCCACGTCGCAAGTTATTGCGTCGTTTTATGCCAGCCTCTGGCTGGATCCGCCACCACCCCCCTCTCTACTTAATGTTCCCCTTTTGGGAAGAAAAGGACCATTATCCTTGCATCCTCTAACTCATTCTTGCCAGATAACCCCCACCGTACCAACCTTCAAGATACAACACATTAAAAAAAAAAAAAAAAGCGATCAGGAGCTATGAACGCGGCTGGAATTGCACCGAAGGCAGTCCCTGAGCAGCGAAAATAGCAACCGTAGTTGGTGAACTTTGGCGGCTCAGTTTCCTACATCACACTCCCCTGCGTGAACGACAGCTTTCCGAAGGATGTTCCTCCCACGGCTGGTGGGGTGAGATGGTGCGGTTGCCAAGCTAGAGGAAGACATAATGAAAAACATGCCTGCTGCCCACCTCCACTGGAGACAGATCATTGACCAGAATTTGTGATTTATTGGCTTGCAAGTTTGGGATGACCCTTTTGGAGAAACCCCTCATTTGGGTGTGGGGAAACCATCTCCAAATTTTAGCTTGTCGATTGTTCTCATTGTTGGGCAGGGTAGGACTGTGAACGTATATAGAGTCCGTTCTGTGATATATTTACAGAATAATACAGCTGGAAGAGATCTTGGAGGTCTTCTAGTCCAACTCCCTGCTCAAGCAGGAGACCTTATACCATTCTGGAGAAATGGCTGTCCAATCTCTTCTTGAAAATCTCCAGCGATGGTGTATCCACGACTTCTGGAGGCAAGCCGTTCCATTGATTAGTTGTTCTCATTGTTAGGAAATTTCTCCGTAATTCTAGGTTGGACCTCTCTTTGATAATCTTCCATCTGTTACTTGTTGTCCTGCTTTCAAGTGCTTTGGAGAAAAGGTTGACTCCCCCTTCTTTGGAACAGCCCCTCAAGTATTGGAAGACTGCTATCATGTCACCCCTGGTCCTTCTCTTCGTTCAACTAGATTCATTAGACTATTTCTTGTCCTATGTAGTAAAAGAGAAGACACAAATGAAGCCGGGAATAAGGTGTTAGCCATGACAGCCCTGGGTTCTATCAAAATGAGAGAGTCTCCTATTTGAAGCCCAAAGGCAATTCCATACAGCCCCCCTACTAGGATTCCACAAACATTTTCCAAATCTTCCAGTTGTTCTCACTACAGTAGTAGGAGAAGAAAAACAGCCAGTTAACCAGGGAGGCCAGGAACTGGCCCCTGCCAGCACCCTGCCCTACCCACAGTCTCCCATCCTGGCCTTGTCATATTTGCATTGCCGGTAAGGAAGTGACAAAAGCTGGCTTGCCTACAAAATAGCCCCTGAGATGTTTGCTAGGACACCATGGTGGTCCTGCAGTGTTTGCAGCTGCGGGGGCAGGGGAGAAAGCTATGGGGCCAGAAGGCAAGAGTTGGCATGGGTTCCTGCCGGTGGGGAGCCTGTCCACCCTCCTCAAACTCTCCCTAGCTCCAGACTCTCAAATCGCAGAGCAGATTTTGCCGTGGGAGCTACGCTGCAGCTGAGACAGAAGAAAATTGGCTGAGGTGCTCATGGAGAACCATGGTGGCGATCACTATTGATCCAGGAGTGGTGCCAAGACTTTGTGGGGAAGAGCCCCAAGGCAAGAAGGCTTCGTAGCCCTATTTGTGGAGACGTTGGCAGGCGAACCTGGAGCCTTCTCCACGCAAAGCAGATGATCATTCAGTTAAGGTTCCTGGTTTTTGTTTTGGATTCTCCAGATCAGGACGCAGGAGAAATTCTCCAAAACTTCTCAAGATTGTTTTGTCTCAGGCTTGGAGGGCTTGGGGAGACAGTCCCACCCCTCTGAATCTTCCCAAACTTTAAAAAAGATGGAACAATAATGGATGGAGGTGCTTCTTAACTTCCTGTCTTGGGTTTTGAAGTGAAGGACAGCAGGTTTTCAATTGTCTCCTCCGTTTAATTTCCAATTTCCAAAGGACAGCAGTCTCTTCCATCCCATTAACAGGACAGCCCGCTGGTGCTTTTTTAATGGCAGAATTTAAGAGGACTCAAAAGAGTTTGCCGGAGAGAAGTGAATTAAAACAATCTTTCATTTGCAGAGTCCCTAAGATTGGCATGCCGGGCTGAAGCGTCAAAGTGTCTGAATGTGTCTCATCTCCCATGTTCCTCTTTCCCCCCATACCCATTGCTCTCTACAAGGTTAGCAATCACACACACACACACACAAGTTTAGGACTGCAACTTACTTCTAATCTGCTTGGATATTTCTTTAAAGAAAGTTCAGAGAACCCTACAGCAGTGATTAGGGAAAAAAGAGAGAGATTTAAAAGAGTGGCAGTCATTTTAAAGGATCTGTCAGTTTCAATCAGTTTTAGAAACAGATGTAGACAAAAATGGAGAGATTTAGGATAGCCTTTTTTCTATGACCGTGGGGAGATGCTTATATAATTTGTTCCCAAACTGTAGAAATGTTGTGTATTCACTAAGATTGTCTGGTTTAAAATCCAAAGAGTTAGGATGCTTAAATCTACAAACTTCCACCCTTAGTTTCGCTGTTCGGTTGGATTTTGATGGCATGTTAGTAGGTTTGATTAAAACCAGAGACTGCACTGTTTCTGGCTCCCTGTTTCCTTTGCAGTTTCTAAGTGCATGTTACAAGTCCTCAAGGTTGGTGGAAATGCATGCAAGTCCAATGTGATATGATTGGGGTAGAGTTCATAGGACTGGCTCCACTGCCCCTCCACTCTGTAATCTATATTTACTATGATTTTAAAAGGGAGGGAATTTTATTGCAAGGAGGAGAATCTGCAGCTGATGCATTAAGGTTATACAGGTAGTCTTTGACTTATGACCGGGGGGAAAATGCTTTACAACCTGTACTTTCACTTATGACCATCACTCCAGCCTCACAATTACACGATCACAATTCAGGAGTTTGGCAACCCACTCATTGCCTTGTCCTGTGGTCCTGTGATCACAATTTGCAACTTTTTTTTTTTGATGATGATGATGATGATTTCTAGCAAAATAAAAGGTCAATTGGGGACCGTGCAATTTACTTAATGACCGCGTGACTCACGACTGCCGTAAAAATGATTGTAAAATCAAGTCTGGTCTCCTGGTGACTCGATTTACGACAGCGCTGACTTAGGACCGAAATTCTGGTCATAAATCAATAGCGATTAAAGAGACAAGCCGCCGTAAGAGAAAAAAGGATTGTGGCTGTGTAGTGGGAAAGCAGCCACTGTGGTTTTGGTAGAGGTTTTCCCATCAACTTATCCTACGTTTTCTGTCCGTGCCTGGGAAATAACATCAAGAAGAGAAAACGTGATTTAATTTCCCAGGGAGCATCGATCAATTAACACCCCCAATTGATTAATTCATCCTGTGATACGGATACATCCAACAAGCAGAAAGGCACCTAGGTCGTCCTCCCTTTATAACCTCGTCTTGTTTAGCCAGTCTCTTGAACCTTGCTTAATGCGGATGGCAAACCCTGCTTATCTCACCCGGTGAGCTATAACACAACCGTTAACAATCTATTTGCCCCACAAACAGGAGGAAATTAAAAACCAGGGCGATTGAAACGGTAAAGGTTAGTTGTTAGGGCTTGATTATAAGAGTAAACAGCCGCCGAGGAGGAATTGGGGGGGGGAGGCAGGGCAGGGTGGATTTAAAAGCAAGATAAGGAACCAGAAGGCAATAAATCAGGGACATGATATAACGTGGCCAGATGGCTTGAATCCTGGCACTGGAAACCCATGCCAAGGGCACTCTTCTGCTGCTGGGTCAGCGAGAGAGACGAGCTAGCTTTTTCCCAAGACTTAGAACCTGGAATCCTCGGGCTGGAAGGGACCTGGGAGGTCTTCTAGTCCAACCCCTTGTTCAAGACAGGAGACCTTATACCTTATCCGATCTTTTCTTGGATGGAGCACCACAACTTCTGAAGGCAAGCCGTCCCACTGATTAATTGAAGCCCTCTCAAAGGGCTGGGAGAGAATGGCTGGCCCACAATCACCCCCGTGGTTTTGCACCTAAAGCAGGACTAGAACTCCCAGCCTCCTGGTTAATGGAATGTTTTTCTCTTTCTTACCTGAAAAAACTCCCCCATCATTGGGCTGTTTCTTCTTTTCTCCCTGACTGGTTAGATTTTTTTTCCCCAGTGAAATAGGTTGCTTGCTTTGTTTATTGCGCGATGAATAGGTTGCCCAACTCGAGATGGCCTATAAAATTAATAAATAATTTCAATGTCAGCCAGTGGCAAGCCTGAACGAAACGATTAATACGGCATTGAACAGTCCCACTGCGAGTTGACCTAGACCCTCAGGAAATGGGGGGGTGTGGTTTGTTTCCCCCCCACACACACACACACCTTCTCCCCCGGTGCAGAATGACCTGACACTTCTCTCTTTGGTTGCTTCTTCCCTCTCGCACAGATTGTTTGCTGCCAAATGTAGTGGGTGCATGGAAAAAATTGCCCCCACGGAATTCGTCATGCGGGCGCTGGAGTGTGTTTACCACTTGGGCTGCTTTTGTTGCTGTGTCTGCGAGCGGCAACTGCGAAAAGGGGACGAGTTCGTCTTGAAGGAAGGCCAGCTCCTGTGTAAAAGCGACTACGAGAAGGAGAAAGACCTGCTCAGCTCCGTCAGTCCGGATGACTCCGATTCAGGTGAGGGTCCCTTCTGAAATGGACCACCTTGGCTTGGTGGGCTTCCAAGATGTATCTGGTGGACCTTTGTCTAACTCTGAGCTCAGAGCTCTTCTTATTGACATTTCTAATGATCAGAGTTTTTGATATAACATAAAACATACGGTTGGAAGGGACTTTGGTGGTCCTAACCCTCTCCCAATGACAGGAGATCTTATACCATTCCAGACTTTCTTTGGGCTTGATGGGATGGATACACCCGATCGTAGAAAGAATAACAGAGCAGAATAATAGAGTTGGAAGGGACTCTGGAGGTCCTCCACTCCAACCCTCCATCTATAGCTCAGGATAGAACTGAGCTACGGGCCACAATCAAAGACTTGAACTCCACAGTCAAAGAGTGATTAATCGATCTTTGATCAGTAGGGTGGGAAAGTTGACATGCCTCCTTACTGTAGGGTTAACAGCTATTTCCTCTCCCGTTATTTTCACCAATCTAATTTAAAAAAACAAAACAGAAAGGATAAATCCAGCCACCCTAGTTTATAAATCTGGGGCAGTGTGAAGTGTTAAACCAGGTTATGTTATTTAACCAAGCAAAGTGTAGCTTCATGCAGTGTGTGAATCCAACCTCTCAGCTCTCCCATATTTGTGTGATATATCAACAGTGAAAAGTGATGATGAGGATGGGGACATCAAACCAGCTAAGGGACAAGTGACCCCCGGGAAGGGCGGCGATGACGGGAAAGACCCAAGAAGACCTAAAAGGCCACGGACAATCCTCACAACACAGCAGAGAAGAGCATTCAAGGCCTCCTTCGAAGTATCGTCCAAGCCGTGTAGGAAGGTACGTTTCTCCTTGTCCAGTCTTGGTTATTAATCATCGGTGCAGTTACTCTTTGACAAAAACACATGCTTTGCGCACAGAAGACCCTTAATTCCATCCCAGGCACAATTGGGATAACTTAGACATATTGCTTATGTGTCCAGCTTGATGGTTCCCCCTTCCCCCATCCTCCCTTGTCATGCAATTGCCATTATCCTTCAGTAGGGTGGTAAAAATTGACAGGCATCCTACTGTAGTGGACAGCTATTTCCCTTGGATTTGAGGATCTCTAGATAGTGGAAGATAAAAGTATAAATTTCCTATCTCAGCCAAGGAGGACATCTGCAGCTGGGATCGTAAAGGATTTTCCTGGAGTACTTAGAAGACTGAAACCTCGGAATAGGAGAAGAAAAGGAAGTCAGGGCCAACTGATCCATTGGAATCCATTGATCTGGAACTGGCAGGATAAAAACCTAGATTAGGCCACTTTTGTCTAGTCCTCCAATTTGCTGTCGCCACCAGGACAGCTGGTTCATTTGGCATCAGGGTTGTTTCTCAGCTTACAGCAGAATATAGAACACCAGAGTGGGAAGGGAGCTTGGAGGTCTTCTAGTCCAACCCCCTGCTCAGGCAGGAGACCCTATACCCTTTTAGACAATTGGCTGTCCAGTCTCTTCTTGAAAAGCTCCAGCATTGGAGCATTCACCGCTTCTGGAGGCAGGTTGTTCCACTGGTTAATTGTTCTAACTGTCAGGAAGTTTCTCCTTAGTTCCAGGTTGCTTCTCTCCTGGATTGATTTCCATCCATTGCTTCAGGTCCTGCCTTCAGACGCTTTGGAGAATAGCTTGACCCCCTCTTCTTTGGGGCAGCCCCTTAGACATTGGAACACATCTATCACATCATCCTTAGCTGACCACCCCAAGTCCTATCCTAGCTTTGAATCCTAATTAAAATGGACCTTCTTCCCCATTTCTCCCAGTAGCCAGTTGGCAAATTTCAGGACAATCTCAACTTCTACATTCCCTGAGTAGACGGAATAGTGTTGTAGAGCTCAATAGCTCACTCAGTCAGTGTTGTAATGTTGTAATACTTCCCCACAACAAGCACGGTCAAGTCTAAACATTTGTACCTACATGAGTAGACAGGCGAAGTTGGTATTAGCAAAACCGAAGCCGAGCTTTCTGATTCAGAAGTTTGCAAACACACCGCCGAAGAATAAAATCAAACTTGCAGCCTTTGAAGTTGCAGACCCCAAATGTGTTTTATATACCTGTAGTCCTCAACTTACAACAGTTACAAAAGTTACAACGGCACTGAAAAAAAGTGACTTAAGACCATTTTTCGCACTTTATGACCCTTGCAGCATTCTCCTGCTCACCTGATCAAAATTGAGAGGCTTGGCAACTGACTCATACTTACGACAGTTGCAGTGTCCCGTGCTTCCCCTTTTGTGACCTTCTGACAAGCAAAGCCAGATTCACTTAACAACCGTGTTACTCACTTAACAACTGTGGCAAGCAAGGTCGTAAAATGGGGCGAAGCTCACGTAACAACTGCTTCACTTAGCAACAGAAATGTTTGCCTCAGTTGTGGCCGTAAGTTGAGGACAGCCTATACTCTGGGAAATGAAGATTATGTTGAAGCTTTTTTGGATTCTTTGCACGCCAAAGTGAGGATTTTTGGAGGATCGTGGCAATTTTGGTTTTCTCTATTTGGCCTTTTTTTTATTTTTGCAGGTGAGGGAGACTCTGGCGGCTGAAACAGGCCTCAGCGTTCGCGTAGTCCAAGTCTGGTTTCAGAACCAAAGAGCGAAGGTAAGACCTCCGCAAGGCCCTCAACGCCGAGCCGTGTCAACAGAGGACGCAGAAGAGAAAACCGGACTGATTTTGACTCTCTTTCCTTTTCGCAGATGAAAAAACTGGCGCGGCGGCATCAGCAGCAGCAGGAGCAGCAAAACTCCCAGCGGCTTGGCCAAGGTAAACCCATCGCTGCAACTGGTCTGGAAAGCTTTGGGACTGGTAATTTATTGATAAAAGAGAATATCTGCAGCTCAGGGTTGAACTGTGGGGTCTTTGGTGCTCTCTGAGCTGGGTGGTTTCCTTGCAGACGTTTTGTGACCCAGCTAGGGGACATCATCAGTGCTAGAAGGGAGAGGGGGTTTGTGAGGAGGAGGAGGAGGAGGAGGAGGAGGAGGATAGGGAGGGGGAGAAAGAGGAGGAGGACTGTGGGGTCCTTGGTGCACTCTGAACTTGGTTGTTTCCTTGTAGACGTTTCTTGACCCAACTAGGTAACATCATCAGTGCTAGTAGGAAGTGCAGAGTTCGCTCCTTGTAGCTTGCCCTGCAGCCAGCAACCAACACCCTGATAAGCAGCTCTTCCTCCTGTCTCCCAAGGTTGTTCTCGCAGCCCATGACAGAAAGTTAACCTATTTTAGGCTTCCGTGCACTTCCCCTCTCAAAATAACAGGAAGCCGTGCTGCCCATTTTTGCCAATGTGTATTAAATTTGGCAGTGTGGTTGAGGAAATATAGACACCCCCGCAGGAGGGGGGGAAAAATGGACATCAGGGCTGCAAATGTCCAGGGGTTCGCCAGTTGGCCACCCCTGTTTTAAAAGCAGCGTAATTGCCCACATGCTGTACGTTTCCACCCGAATAAAGATTGGGCTGGAGTTCCCAAGGGGGAGGGTAGGTGTTTTTCTGAGAATATGTCTTGGCATATTTTCAGCTCTTGCACCCCGACAATAATTGGCATTCAGCTCATCCTGTCTGCTTTGGGCCGTGCTGGCACCATCAGGCGCCAGTCGGGGCTGGCAAAGTGCTGCAGGAGAGACTGGACAAACACCGGGCCTCAGCCCTACCCAGTTTGCAAAATTTCTTCGAGTGAGGACGCAACACCGACTCTTGCATATGGATGAGAGAGAGGCAGCAACCCTCGTCAGACGGGCATTGCTCAACGTCATAGGGAGTTGTGGGAGTGGAGGCGAAGAGAAGACTTGGCAACTTCTCTTTCCATCTTAGCAGGAATGAATCACTGTTTTCAAATCACCCTTCTCCTCCAAGAGGCTTCTTCAGCTCTGACTGGATCCTCCCATCCCCCACCATCCAGTCAGAGCTGAAGAAGCTTCTTGGAGGAGAAGTGAGACGTCTTCGAAGAAAAACAAGAAAGTCCAGTTGCCCCCCCGGAAAAAGCACCCTTGGGACGTACGAATAGACTGTTGAGTCCTAACAAATACGGTTATTCTTTTAAGGTTGAACATAGTGCCATTTGCTGCCCAGATTCTCTGCAACAGTGAGCTGGGCTGCCTATAAATTTAATAAATAAAATAATAATAATAATAGTAAACATCGTTGGCGTTGACACAATCCCCATCAGTCAATTGCAAAAGGCAATTGACAGCTTACATCCTGTGATGATGCCTTTAACACCTCCACATCTGTCTATCCCAGGTCCTTGGGAAGGACTTAACAGAAGGATAAACATGCCAATCCAGTCTAAACATCTGGCTGAATTTGCAACCCACAACAATAATAATAACCACTGGCATTGACACAATCCCCATCAGTCAATTGCAAAAAGCAACTTTATTCATGGCAGCTTACATCCTGTGATGATGCCTTTAACACACATTCACCTCTGCCTATCCCAGGTCCGTGGGAAGAATTTGATAGCTGGACAAAAATGCTGGATCCAATCTGAACATCTGGCTGATGGGGCGACGAACAATAATAATAAATACGTCTGGTATGTTGACGGCAAGGCGAGCATTAGTTGAAGTTTTTTTGCTTTGGTCTTACAGAAGTAATGTCCAACCGGATGGAAGGGATAATGACGTCGTACACACCCCTTGCCCCACCGCAGCAACAGATTGTAGCAATGGAGCAGAGCACCTACGCCACCGATCCTTTCCAGCAAGGTCTCACCCCGCCACAAATGCCAGGTGACCACATGAATCCTTATGGTAAGACTCCCTGGGAACCAACTGCCATTGTCATATAAGACCTTCAGGACCTCTGTTGAAACTCTGAGGTCTCCTGTTAACATCTGGAAGGGCGCAAAAGTGTCCAGAGAGCCCATAGAGTGCAATGCTTAAATAACTCCAGAAACACCTGCCTGTCCATTCTTGGCCTGGGTGATTTTAGACTGGATACTTCCTTTCAGCCCGCCCAACTTTGCAAGGAAGATTGTAGCGAGAGAGAGAAAAAAGAAGGAGTGCTATCTAAGCTGCTTTGATCTCCTAAAACAAAGCAGGATAGAAATCTAAATTCCGATATCCTATCTGTTAGAATCTTTTCCTCCTTGCTTCCTTGCTTCAAGATGGATTTGACAAAGCAGAGCTCTTAGGAATGGGCAGATCCAACGCATCATATTTCTGTATTCATCAGTGACTCCGTCTTAATCCCACCTATTCCCCCAAAGGATCTGAACACACATTTGAGTAGTCAGTGGTAGTGAGAGCGTTATAGGATTTGAAAGCTTCTGTTCTTCCTCCTTCCTTCCCTCCACTTGTTCCTCCAGATCTCCACACCCCATTGGCCAATGTTGGGATTAAATTAGCTTCTCTCTCACTTCCTGGAGCAGCGGATCCCACTCAGAGAGACTTGCCATCCCCTTCAGGGCAAATGACATTTCCTAAGGTTGTTTTTGCTTGGATTGTCACCATCCTCCCACATGCCAAGGAAGAAGAGGAGAGGAGAAGTAAATAAATGAATCAGTGGAGCCCAAAGGGTGTGGGGAACAATTGTTTCTCCAACTTGCGCTACTGATGGCAACCATTGACCTCTTGAAGAAACATCTCGCATTTGTGCAGTGTTAGGTGTTGACCTTGGTCTACCAGATCTCAGATGGGTTCCATAGCTGATCAGCTGCCCTCAAGTGAAAATCTCAGCTTGGCTATTGTTTTGTTTTGAGGTTGAAACATAGGCAGGGATTGGGTAGGTCTAGTCTAGTGAAAAGAAGGGGAGACGTGATAGCTGTGCTCCAATATTTGAGGGGCTGTCACAAAGAAGAGGGGGGACAACCAATTTTCCAAAGCACCCAAAGGCAGGACAAGAAGCAACAGATGGAAACTCATCAAGGAGAGAAGCAACTTACAGCTAAGAAGAAATTTCCTAACAGTGAGGACAATTAAGCAGTGGAACGACTTGCCTCCAGAAGTTGTGGGTTCTCCATCCCTGGAGGCTTTTAAGAAGAGACTGGACAACCACTTGTCTGACATGGCATAAAGTCAGGGGGTTGAACTAGAAGACCTCCAAGGTCCCTTCTCACTCTGTTATCCCATATAGAATTATGAAGCCGGGGAAAGAAAGAGCCGGGAAGAGTTAAACCACCACATTATTCTAGTTATGCGCTTCTTATTTATTTTTTATTATTTTTTTATTATTTTAATTTCTATACCGCCCTTCTCCCGCAGGACTCAGGGCGGTGCACAGCATATTAAAAACAGATACAATAACAATATACAAAAATAAAACCCTTCTAAAACCAAATTAAAAACCAAATATTAGAGGCTGTGTTCCAATTAAAATTATACTTAAAATCGTCCCTAAATAAAATCCTCCTTANAGACGTCTTCGAAGAAAAACAAGAAAGTCCAGTTGCCCCCCCGGAAAAAGCACCCTTGGGACGTACGAATAGACTGTTGAGTCCTAACAAATACGGTTATTCTTTTAAGGTTGAACATAGTGCCATTTGCTGCCCAGATTCTCTGCAACAGTGAGCTGGGCTGCCTATAAATTTAATAAATAAAATAATAATAATAATAATAATAATAGTAAACATCGTTGGCGTTGACACAATCCCCATCAGTCAATTGCAAAAGGCAATTGACAGCTTACATCCTGTGATGATACCTTTAACGCCTCCACATCTGTCTATCCCAGGTCCTTGGGAAGGACTTAACAGAAGGATAAACATGCCAATCCAGTCTAAACATCTGGCTGAATTTGCAACCCACAACAATAATAATAACCACTGGCATTGACACAATCCCCATCAGTCAATTGCAAAAAGCAACTTTATTCATGGCAGCTTACATCCTGTGATGATGCCTTTAACACACATTCACCTCTGCCTATCCCAGGTCCGTGGGAAGAATTTGATAGCTGGACAAAAATGCTGGATCCAATCTGAACATCTGGCTGATGGGGCGACGAACAATAATAATAAATACGTCTGGTATGTTGACGGCAAGGCGAGCATTAGTTGAAGTTTTTTTTGCTTTGGTCTTACAGAAGTAATGTCCAACCGGATGGAAGGGATAATGACGTCGTACACACCCCTTGCCCCACCGCAGCAACAGATTGTAGCAATGGAGCAGAGCACCTACGCCACCGATCCTTTCCAGCAAGGTCTCACCCCGCCACAAATGCCAGGTGACCACATGAATCCTTATGGTAAGACTCCCTGGGAACCAACTGCCATTGTCATATAAGACCTTCAGGACCTCTGTTGAAACTCTTGAGGTCTCCTGTTAACATCTGGAAGGGCACAAAAGTGTCCAGAGAGCCCATAGAGTGCAATGCTTAAATAACTCCAGAAACGCCTGCCTGTCCATTCTTGGCCTGGGTGATTTTAGACTGGATACTTCCTTTCAGCCCACCCAACTTTGCAAGGAAGATTGTAGAGAGAGAGAGAAAAAAGAAGGAGTGCTATCTAAGCTGCTTTGATCTCCTAAAACAAAGCAGGATAGAAATCTAAATTCCGATATCCTATCTGTTAGAATCTTTTCCTCCTTGCTTCCTTGCTTCAAGATGGATTTGACAAAGCAGAGCTCTTAGGAATGGACAGATCCAACGCATCCTATTTCTGTATTCATCAGTGACTCCGTCTTAATCCCACCTATTCCCCCAAAGGATCTGAACACACATTAGAGTAGTCAGTGGTAGTGAGAGCGTTATAGGATTTGAAAGCTTCTGTTCCTCCTCCTTCCTTCCCTCCACTTGTTCCTCCAGATCTCCACACCCCATTGGCCAATGTTGGGATTAAATTAGCTTCTCTCTCACTTCCTGGAGCAGCGGATCCCACTCAGAGAGACTTGCCATCCCCTTCAGGGCAAATGACATTTCCTAAGGTTGTTTTTGCTTGGATTGTCACCATCCTCCCACATGCCAAGGAAGAAGAGGAGAGGAGAAGTAAATAAATGAATCAGTGGAGCCCAAAGGGTGTGGGGAACAATTGCTTCTCCAGCTTGCGCTACTGATGGCAACCATTGACCTCTTGAAGAAACATCTCGCATTTGTCCAGTGTTAGGTGTTGACCTTGGTCTACCAGATCTCAGATGGGTTCCATAGCTGATCAGCTGCCCTCAAGTGAAAATCTCAGCTTGGCTATTGTTTTGTTTTGAGGTTGAAACATAGGCAGGGATTGGGTATGTCTAGTCTAGTGAAAAGAAGGGGAGACATGATAGCAATGCTCCAATATTTGAGGGGCTGTCACAAAGAAGAGGGGGGGGGACAACCAATTTTCCAAAGCACCCAAAGGCAGGACAAGAAGCAACGGATGGAAACTCATCAAGGAGAGAAACAACTTAGAGCTAAGAAGAAATTTCCTAACAGTGAGGACAATTAAGCAGTGGAACGACTTGCCTCCAGAAGTTGTGGGTTCTCCATCCCTGGAGGCTTTTAAGAAGAGACTGGACAACCACTTGTCTGACATGGCATAAAGTCAGGGGGTTGAACTAGAAGACCTCCAAGGTCCCTTCTCACTCTGTTATCCCATATAGAATTATGAAGCCGGGGAAAGAAAGAGCCGGGAAGAGTTAAACCACCACATTATTCTAGTTATGCGCTTCTTATTTGAAGGAGGCCTGGGACTGGAGAAAGTAGGGGGGGACTAGCAATCCCAGGACCTGTCTTTTCACGACCACATCAGTGAGAAGGCTGCATCAGATGTGGTTTGGCAGAAAGCTGGCTTACTCTCTTGCGTCCAGAGCTTTTTAGCATGCAAATTGATAACAGCTCTTATCGCACTCACAACAATGGTATGTGGGCTGGAATGCCTAGATTCCCAAACTGGGGGGGTGCCAGATGGGTGGCATGGAAAAATTGAAAAGGACACTCTGTGGCTGGGCGAGGATCTGCTACTCATAGTTTACCCTTCGCCCATCAAGTCGTGTCTCAGACGAGATCTTAGCTGTGTTGCCTGCCGTGAATAGTTTCAGAGGTCTAATATTCAGTCGAGCTTTCTCCATCAAGCCATCGTGTTCCTGGAGCAGGTCAAAGAACTAGGTCCTTCCCTTGAGCAGGATGACCTTTGGGGTCCTACAAGTTCTGGAAGACGTTGTTATGATTGCTCGTTTTAACGTCAACTGACATCCTGGCCTCATTCAGGTTTGACACACGATCGCCTGGATGGGTTTCCCCAAAGCAACTTTTGTCTGCAAAAAAACAAACCACGATCAGTTTTCTCCACTGAAAAGATCTTCACTTCTTCACGATGCCCTCCTTCCCATCTCAAAAGAGCTTCCCTATTTTGTAGCGGCTCAACAAGGGGGATCTTTCTGGATCCTCTTCGAAAAGAGAGCGATGAGGTTCCAGGAAAAAACAAACAACAACAATGAAATGACTATATTGTTGATCTAAGAGTTGAACAGTAGGGAGGGAGGTTTCTTCTGCAACTTGGCTGAGTTTCCAAAGGCAATCCGGGGGGCCCCCCTGTTGCAACAGTGTAAAAGTTATCATTTTAAGGGATCTAGTCCTCATGATTTATAGCTTTGCGTCAGACTTCTAGGCAGTGTTTTCTAAGAATGGAGAAACTTCCTCGCTGCCTCGAAGCCGGCATGATGTTGGCCGCCCTGACGGCAGGAATGCACGCAAAAGAAACAACACGCAAGGAAAAAGGTAGTGGTAAGGAGAAGGAAAAAAAAAGCAGACCCAAGGACTCATCCTCCAGCATTGTAACAGATCTAATGAAGAAAAATAAGGATGGTCCATCGGGCTGGAAGGAAGAACTTGTAGAGTTCTCCGCAGAATATATGCCGAAATATTTCTGCTTTTCTCTCTTCCGCTTCCTTTTCAAATGGATGGTGAGCAGCCCTCAAAGGCCCCCTGTGGAATTGCTCAAGTCCTCTTTAAATCCAGTGGCAACTTCACTCCATCAGCTTCTTTCAGTCATGCACCTGGCCTGCCTAGGGACGATGGGACTTGTAGTCCACCACCTTCAGTGGATGCTGTGTCTCGGGAGGCAGGGAGATATTAACCGGGTCTGTTCTGCTTTGGGAAATATCCTTGACTGTTTTAAAGTCATCCTCCTTGGCGGATCAACGGAACGAACGGGCCTTCGGGAGTCTAGCCAAGTTTGCATTGGGGGAAGAAGTGAAAAATGGGGGGGGGAACCCCACCTTTTTTTTTCAACACTGGGTTGCTCCTCTTCCCTCTTGCAACCCCTCTCCGTTTTCTTTCCAGTGGCAACTTTTATTGGCACTGACAACGATCTGATCCTGACATTCCTCAAAGCCACAGTTTCCTCTGATGGAACGCAGGATCTTTTCTCTTTTGCCAGCCTTCGTGGCTCAGATAAAAAAGAATCTTTCCCACTCTTTCTCTCTCTCTTTCTCTCTCTCCCTCTCTCTTTCTTGCTCTTTCCCTCTCTTTTTCCTTCTCTCTCTCTCTTTCCCTCTTTCTCTCTCTCTCTTTCTCCGTTTTTCTCTTTCTTGCTCTTTCTCGCTCCCCATCTCTTTTTCTCTCTTTCTCCAACTCTCTCTTTTCTCTCTCTCTCTTTCTCTCTCTCTTTATTCTCTCTCTCTCTTGCTCTTTCCCTCTCTTTTTCCTTCTCTTTCTCTTTCTGTCTCTCTCTCTCCCTCTCTCTCTTTTTTCTCTCCCTCTCTCTCTTTTTTCTCTCTGTCTTTCTCCGTTTCTCTCTCTGTCTTGCTCTTTCTCTCTCTTTCTCTAACTCTCTCTCTTTCTCTCTTTTTCCAACTCTCTCTTCTCTCTCTCTCTCTCTCTCTCTCTCTTTATTCTCTCTCTCTCTTGCTCTTTCCCTCTCTTTTTCCTTCTCTTTCTCTTTCTCTCTCTCCCTCTCTCTCTTTTTTCTCTCCCTCTCTCTCTTTTTTCTCTCTGTCTTTCTCCGTTTCTCTCTCTGTCTTGCTCTTTCTCTCTCTTTCTCTAACTCTCTCTCTTTCTCTCTTTTTCCAACTCTCTCTTCTCTCTCTCTCTCTCTCTCTCTCTCTCTCTCTCTCTCTCTCTCTCTCTCTCTCTCTCTCTCTCTCTCTCTCTCTCTCCAAACTCTTTTGAGATGCCGTAGACTGCAGAGCAAACAATTTGCTGGCAGAGAGCCCAGCCATTTCTTACATCCCGCCCAATGATGCTATCATAGTACCATTAAAAGCTCCAGCAAAGAGCCAGGCCTGCTTTTTCTCTTCATTTGATTCTTCAAGTGCAAATTAGTTTGATTTTTCAGCAGAGAAGATCAACACAGCTGAAGAAAAAGCACAGCCTTCCAAAAGACTATGACAGCTCAAAATGCACCCGGGGCATCTGAGTAGTATTATTGTTATTGTTGTCCTTATTATTCCCAGAAACCAAACACCCTGGAGATTTAAGATAGGCTTCTTAAAAAATTTCTCCAATGCTTTGGTTTGCTATTCGCGGTTGTTCTTTGGAACAGAAGTATATCCAGATGTGGGAATCATGTGAAGAAATTCCTCTCGGGTCCACAAATCCTACACTGCAGCTAGTAAAGGCCTTAACCAAAAGTTGGCTACGTCAGTCCAGGTTTGCAGTGATGCAAAAATTGAAGCGGGAGTATTTCCAGCTCCCCAGATATTACTAGATTTCTGATATTGCCAAAATCCTATGAATTGAGTTTGCCTAGAGTATGCCATTTGCAAGTTCAGTGCAGATGCAAGTTCAGAGATGGAGAAAGAGAAGGAGGAAAGTGAAGTTAGAACAACAAGAAGAATTGGTCTCATTAACCTTCTCCCACTTGTAGCAGAATGACAGAGTTGGAAGGGACCTTGGAGGTCTTCTAGTCCAACCCCCTGCTCAAGCAGGAGACTCTATACCATTTCAGACAAACACTTGTCCAATCTCTTCTTAAAAACCTCCAGTGATGGAGCACCCACAACTTCTGGAGGCAAGCTATTCCATTGATTGATTGTTCCCACAGTTAGGAAATTCCTCCTTAGTTCCAGGTTGCTTCTCTCCTTGGTTAGTTTCCACCCATTGCTTCTTGTTCTGCTTTCAGGTGCTTTGGAGAATAGCTTGACCCCCTCTTCTTTGTGGCAACACCTCAAATATTGGAATACTTCTATCCTTTCAATCTGGGAGGGCATTATATATGGTACCGTCAACCTAAATGGGACCTCTAATCCTTTTTTTCATTAAACCAGACACATTCCTGTCCATCTGAGAAAATGAGGCTACAGCACATATTGTTAATAGCCTGTTTCCCCACAAGCAATCAGAATACGTTGCATTCAAAAAAAGGATTCTCATGTACTGAGAATGAGGCCAAAATATGTTGGGTGGCAAAATCCCAAGCTTACATTGTGAGCATCTCCTATCTTCTGAAAACAACCTTATCACGATGCATCTCTGTTGTACGGGAAGAGTTTAAAGCTGATGAAAACGGGTGTGTCTGGAACACTTCGGTCACATATGGGTGAAACCATATATGGATCATATCTATGGAGATTCTCAGTCATCCAGGTCATGGTTATCCCAAAAGGTGCTTTTTTCCCCCCCAATGGCAACTGGACTTTGTTTTTCCCGGAAGACATTTCGCATCTCATTCAAGAAGCTTCTTCAGAACTTGGAGGAGAAGCGAAATGTCTTCCAGGAAAAACAAAAGTCCAGTTGCCTTTGAAAAAAGCACCTTTGGGACCTATCAGATCATCTTCTCAGAAGATTGTAGCACCCTGGAGCAGTCATCCCAGCCTATTAACATGTTTATATTCTGTCTGTTTTTTTTTTTTCTTCTTCTCTCCATCACCCATCAGGAAATGACTCCATTTTTCATGACATCGACAGTGACACTTCTTTAACGAGTTTGAGTGACTGCTTCTTGGCTTCCTCGGAAGTAAACTCCATGCAAGCCAGGATAGGAAACCCCATTGATAGGCTGTATTCTATGCAGAGTTCCTACTTTGCTTCATGAAAAGCAACCGGTGTGAACCAGCCGGCTCTTCTGAACTTCTCTCCTGAACCAACGTGTCGCAAGGAACTCCTTCCTGTTTCCAGCTGAAAAACAAAAAAAACCCAAACTCATACAGCCATATTTTTCTTCTTTTTCTCCAACCTGACCTTGGTCACCTGGGATGACAGGAGCATTAAATTAATGTCCGAGAAACAGACAGGCAAGGAATCCTCAGAAGGACAAAAAGACCACACACATCACTCCCTCCCCCCAAAAAACGAGGTCAACAAGGCTGGACCAAGAGACGCCGATCCTCCGTGGTTAGTTCCTTCTCGAACCCCATTGTGGTGGATGCGAACACTTCCCACGTGCATTGCTTTGAGATCTCTTTCCACAGCGTGCTGTTTTTTCCAGGCTGCCCACGACGCAAAGTTGGTCAAGCTGAAGGAAGAAATTGGAGAGGACTGTTCCAATTTTGTTCTGCATGTTTCCTCAGGACCGTGAGACATTTTGACAAGAGCTGTGATTCCTAGAGGAACATTTCCTGTCCCCCCCCCTGCTCGACTTTTCCTCGTCTTTCTTTTCCTCTCCATCAAACCAAACGGAAGCCAAAGCAGTCACTTCTGGGGCCATTAAGTTATAGTTGCTGTACTACCTGGAAATTGGGGAGTGGGGATGGAGGAGAGGAAGGGGAAAAAAACCCAGAAAATAATATAAGATGAATGCAAGGCAAAATCAGGCCACGTCGTCATAATTATGACATTTCTTGGAGAGGAAGAGAAAGAGTTAAAAAGAAAAAAAAAGACGCCGAACAGGGGAGGCAAATTTAGACGAGCCGTCACGACAACTTTACCTGAAAAAGCAATTTTATAAAAAGTAGGGCGAGAGACATTCTGGAGCACCCGAATTTATTGCAGGTTGTTTGCCATTCTGGGTGTGTTAAAACATTTAAAAAAAAACAACAGTGAAATAATTCAGTGCCAAATTTGATGTCTTCACCCCTAGCTCTGCTAGCCTTGATTGACAGTCATCTGTTGGTGATTCCCATTTGTTTATACTGATTTGACAGCGACACCCCACAGTTCCTTGCTGCAGGACGCATTAATCAGAGACGGCTTTCATTTGGATCTTTTTCCCTCAATTGGGGGGGGGACCCTTTTCCTCTCCTACCTCCCCTTATCCTTCATGTAATTGCAAACTGCAAGCAGTGATGGTGCTGTGTAGCCTTTTACTCTTAGTGGACGCTTATTCCAAAGCAGTTCAGCTATTCCCAATGCATGTGGACCAGTTGCTAGTAGAAATTAAGCCTTGTCAGATGTGAAGATGTGAATCACGTTTTATGGTGCTTACCTCTAAGAAAGTCCAGGAAATTCCACATTTTGTGACTAGTTAGATCACATGGTAAGCTAACATGGGGTCTCTACCAGGTTTCTGGGGGTCCTGCTCCAAAAAGGGGATGGATCTGGGGCTGTGGTTTGATTTTATTTAAATTTTATTTTAAAAAAAAAACAAGTTAGTGGATTAAACATCATGGCTTCCCACATATTTTGCATTCCACAACATTCTGCCACATTAAAATTGCAGTGGGTGAAAGCTTGAGCAGAAGGCCATCATCAAGTCTTTGGGGTCTTCCAGACTATTCTGGGTCCACCAGTTTTCCATCACTGCATTGTCCTTTGTTCCCCAAAGTTTTGGTCTATATTTCCCAGCAACCTCAGGTAGCTTAGTCCAAGCTCCCACCATGTGTGACGGACCTCAAATTCCATGCTTGATTTTATTATATCTTTTATTATCTATTGTTGGGAAACATAAACTGGAGACTACTCTTGACCTCATGGCTTGCTTATGGATTTCTAGAACTATCTGCTCAGCTCCCTTGGGGATAGACTAGATGGCCCCCAAGTTCTGCAGAACTTTGATGGAATGTGGGGGGTTTTTTATGCTCATAAAACAAGTTGGCAAAGTAGAGATTAGCTTCACCTTGAGCTGATCAGCCTTTGTCAATTGGGAGGCTGTCAAGATGTGTGGATTTTAACTCCTAGGATCCTCCAATTAGGATAGCCATTGTTGAGTGTTGAATTCCACACACCTTCGGGGTATCCGGATCCGAGAAAGGCTGAATTAGGGGGAAACAGAGTTTAGTTGCTGAAATTTCGTAGCCAATATAGCCATTGCTGAGAATGTTGGGAATCAAGATCCGGAGGTCTCAACCACTTCTACCTTGGGGAAAGCTGACTTAGAGACTTATTTTGAGTATTTGTTGGCAAGTTCAGCGCGCAAGCAAGAGAAAGGCTATACAAGCCATTATCCTCTTACTGTCTGTCTCTTCTTTTAGGGTCATTTTAGATTGATGGTAGCTACACGTTTTTGAAAGCAGAAGAATTCGAGGAATAAGATTTACAGGTAGTTCTTGACTTACAACCCTCCGTTTAATGATGGCTCAAAGTTATAACAGTGCTGGGGAAAACGACTTAGAACCGGCCATTGCACTTAGGACTGTCCCAGCATTCCCCATAGTCACGTGACCAACATTTGGGCACTTGGCAACTGGCATGTACTTAGGACGGTTGCAGTGTCCTGGGCTCAGGCCATTTGCAACTTCTAAAAAGCGAAATCAGTGCTGGAAGCCAGATCAGCTTAGCAATCGTGCGATTTGCTTAACGACAAAAAAAAAGAGCGTAAAATTGGGCTAGACTCACTTGTCAACCAAGGGAAGCTCCTGTCCCCATTTTGATCAGAAGTTGAAGACTAACTAAGTTCCTTTCAATCTTTATTTCTCATAATTTGAGGGCCAAGCAAAAAAAAAACCCACCAACTCAGTTGTCCCTATTGGATTCCAACTGCTGTTAGATCTGACAGATCGTACCCTCTCCTTATTATCTCCTGCCAGATCCAATGGGATCCAGGATAAGGCTATCATCCACAAGCGACTCCCCTTATAAGCACCTACGTTAGTCTTCCCCCCCCCCCCAATCGTATTAATACGTTCTGGAAGTTAACAATGTGTGAAAATGTACATCTTTTCCAGTGTCTTGAAATTGCTGCCTACATCAACTGCCTTCTTAAATGACTTCAGGTAAGAGATTGGCTGTTTGTTTTTTTAAAATAAATAAATAAAAAAATAAATGCCCAAAGCAAGGCCCCCCTCTTTGACAAAATAAATTAAAATACAATGTCATCCTGAAACCAAACCCTCTGGCAGTTGAGCGGTTCCATGTTTGAACCACGTGTGAACACCCTGTTGGTTCACTTCCTTTATGGCATGAATATCTGAAGAGAAGCAGGTCTTATATTCTGCTTTTCTCCAGATGCAAGAATGTCTTCTGAATCTGAAAGCAGAATCCCAGGAGCGCTTATCATGTGGATCTGGAAACCAGTTTCCACAGGCCACGAAAGGTGGACATGGTTCAGAAGAACAGGTGTGCAACTTCCCAGTGGAACTGCGGAAAGAGACCCCTTTTAATAACTAACCCTTCAATTAATTAATCAAACACACCCAAGGATGCCGTTTCCCTTGTCCCATCCTCAACGGAAAGTTCTGTCGAGAAGGCAGAAGTTCAAAGTTCCATCTTCTGGTCCTCTACAAGTAGGACAACACGGAGAACTTAGGAAAGACGTTCTGGCTTTTCCATAGAGATAGTTGTCCTCCAAATTGTGATGTAATTGAATTGTAACCTTTCCCGTCCAACACCAGTAAAAGCTGCCACGGCCAACTCATCATGGCCAACCCGCCATGGACAACTCGCTGCAGGACAGGAGTTACACTGATGTCAAACATGGTGGCCTAGAATCGTTAAAGAGTGATAAAAAGAGGGACACCATGAAATAGGAATGACCAAAAAAATGAAATAATTTGTTTATTCGTTGTAAACAATTAAATTGAATTGTGCAGTTGTCCAACAGCAAGTTGACAGTGACCGTGGTGAGCTGGCTATGGCGATTTGTCCCCTTCCACTGAGAGTGACCCCAGATTGAAAGGCCTAGCCCAAACTACTCAAACTTGCTTTAACTTTCCCCTGGTATCCTGGCAGAGATCAACGTCACTCTAATTTGTGGCATGGATGGTTGCTCTCAGGAATCTGCTGGTTGTATGGTTTTAACCTGGGACTCCGGGGTCAAAGGGTTGAAAGCAAGCTCTTGACCTTCTCTTGACTTGAGGCTTACTCTTGCATTCTCAGGGGAGATGCCACTGGATAAGTCAAGCAGACAAGAAAGCAAAAAAAAAAAAAAAAAGGTAGGAATGTCTGCTGATGTCTTAGGTGGATAAAACCTCCTTTGACAAGTCTGGGTTGAAGCCCGTGGAATGACAGCCTGTGTGGGGCGTCAGATGGCCATTATAAGCAGATTATTTGTGCCTTTGCACGGCTTGTCTCTGTCGAGAAAACGCGTGCCACAACGACACACACTTCCTTCCAATCTTTGAGTCACGTTTGGCCCAGTAAGCAAAGAACGGCCTGAAAAGGGTAATTTACAATAGAATATGGGGAAAAAAATATATGATTGGCTAGGCTGCCGTGTCTATAGTGCAGTTAGTAAAGGGTGGAAGGAATTGTCCTTAGAAATTCTTCCAAAATGGATGTAAATCACTTGTTTCAAAGGGGATGTTAAGAGAATGAGGAATTTTGCTACTTCCAAACACATAGTTATACCTATTCAGTAATGCTATTGATGTAATGTTTTGCCACTTAAATATTCTCATTGACTATTGAGTTCTATGGGGTTCTTGGTGCTCTCTGAGCTTGGTGGTTTTCTTGCAGACGTTTCATGACCAAACTAGGTAACATCAACAGTGCATCGGTGCATTGATGATGTTACCAAGTTGGGTCATGAAACATCTGCAAGAAAACATCCGAGTTCAGAGAGACCTAAGGACAGCACAGTCATTCTCCTCCCCCTCCTCCTCCTCCTCTCCACAAACTCCACTCCCTTCCAGCACTGATGATGTTACCTAGTTGGGTCATGAAACATCTGCAAGAAAACATCCAAGCTCAGAGAGCACCAAGGACCCCACAGTTCAACCT